AGTCTAAGTAACTTATAAGAGTGAAAAATTTAAGGGAGTCTGAATACTTTCCGTACCCACTGTATTACATCACCAAAAGTAACATACAAAATAACAATAATAATTAACTTTTTTTTAATGATGTAGTTGTATTTTATTCTATTTTTTAGCGTTTCCAAAATAATATGTGATGATTTTGATCAAATACATTGTACATGTAAAATCATCCACAAAAATATACAAATACTAAGTAGTAGGCCTATAGCCTACATAGCTATATAGCATATGCTATGTTATGATATACAAATATATAATTAATTTGTTAATGTTAACAACTAATGATAACAATTTTAAGTATTCTACGAAGTAGACCTGAGATAGAAGGGAAAAGTTCATTCATTAAACAAGGAACGAAAAGGTAAGATGTGTTATTTATAACTGTGCTGAACCTATTCGTCAAATTTCATCCTTTAGACATTGAGATGTGAACTACTAAAATATTTGCAGCCTTTAAATATCGTTGTCTTAGGTGTGTTTCAGAGCAGAAATGTAGCGCCCTTCCTATATTTTTAGGCGTGAGAGCTTTTCTTTCGACGTTGGTGATAACCGGAAGTGCTTTACATTTAGATTTGCTCGCGAGTGGCCCATTGTTTAGTTGCAGTGGCGCCCTTTTGATTTCGCTAACGCAAACAAAGCAGATTTACCGGTAAGAAAAATAAACATACATTATTTGATAACTATATAATGTGCATGTAGCTTATAATGGAGTCGAATTTTCTTATTTAAATCAGTTTGATATGTCTGTTCTTGCGTGGTTGACTTGTGTAGGCCTGTAAAGACTCAGGTTAGCCTGTTAGCTTGGTTGGTACATACATTTAGTGTGTAACAAATCTGTTCGTATTACGTTTAATTCGACTTTAAATGTTAAAACATTTGTGTACTATAAATAGTTTTCCTGTCGTTTTTATATTTTGTATTGTTCCTATAAAGCAGCTTTCGATTAGTGCTATAAATCCTTTGAGTAATTCAGTGTCGCATGCTAGTGTGCTCATTGTTTCCAAAATCAATTTTCAGCCTCTTTAGTAACAGTTTTGATCGTTAACGTTACGTATTGCAGCTTTTAAACGTAACTCAACTGACAAGATAGGCTTCTATCATCCAGTTTAATTGCATATTCATAGTCTCTGTGCTTATGTTTAATTTCTTGCAGCTTTTTAGGTGTGCAGCTGAGTTTGGGATTGGTGAAGATATGGGAGGTGAGTCTTTATTCCATTTTTTTAACATCCATTCCAGCTATGATCCATTCTGGTGTGCTAAAAAAAGTTGGGATAGACATAGGAAATACAGAGTGATGAAAATACTACTTGAAACTAAACTGTTTTTTCCCCTACAGATCCTTCCCTAAGCCGGGACTGCCCGCTAGATTGTAAGGTCTATGTTGGCAATTTGGGCAACAGTGGTAATAAAACTGAGTTGGAGAGAGCATTTGGCTATTATGGTCCCTTGAGGAGCGTATGGGTGGCAAGAAATCCTCCCGGCTTTGCTTTTGTGGAGTTTGAGGACCCCAGAGATGCAACCGATGCTGTGAGGGAGCTTGACGGAAGGTAAGAACATCTATTTAAATTTAGTCCTCTGGAACAGCCATTGTCCTGTAGATTAGATTATCCTGATTAAGCAAAGGTTTGCAGAATTGCATCTTGTGGTTTTGATGGAAACTATCCAAAAATGCACATAGTTGTATAAGGGTTATTATTGTAAACTAAGATTGTAAATTGTTTAATCAATAATAATAATTTAAAAAAAAAACTTTATTTCAGCTATCCATTTTTTTTAAAATCCATTTTAGTGTCCTAGAAGAGGTGGGATAGACATACAACACCTAATAATACAGAACAATGATAATATTACTTGAAATAAAATGAAAAAGGAACTTAAATACAATGAAATATGAATAAACTTCAACTTATTTCAGCTAATTGCTAAGGCAACATTTCTCATGTTAATTTAGTTAAAATATGAAATTATTAAAACTAAATACAAAATTATATAGACGTTATAATCAAACTAATAAATGGCAAAAACACATACAAATTTAGCAAATTATAATGAAAATAAAAATGTAATTCAAAGTATTCAAAAGCTATAATAGTTTATAAATTATATTAAAGTAACACTGAGTTTTATATGCTATTTAAAATGTCATCTGTAATGTCATAAAGTAATTTGTTTACTTTGTGGTTGTACTGTATGCTCTAGATACACTCTAAATGTGACATGCGCTTTCTGTAAACTATTCTTATAACCCCATGTTTGTCTGTTTCAGAACACTGTGTGGGTGTCGAGTGCAAGTTGAAATGTCCAGTGGTGAAAAACGCTCAAGGTATCGTGGACCACCCCCTTCTTGGAATCGCCGCCCACGTGATGATTATAGACGCCGCAGCCCACCCCCTAGACGCCGGTATGGTTTCTTTTTCTGCTCTTAAACGAGACTAGATGTCTTAAAAACCCTTTCACCACAAGCTTAGTTTTGGGCAGAGTGAAGAGCCTAGGTGTGGAGACTGACAAAACCAGCATCTTTTCATAAATTCAGCCAAGCTGTTCGAAACCTTCCCCATGCTCTCCTTGAACTGATCAGTTTTCAGCCTTCGGATTGGTTAACCAACAATGAGTGCATTGAGTTTTTGCTCAGGGATATTCATTAACTTGAATTGTAGTTAAGGATTTCCAAAGAATCTTCTCATTGTTTGGGTTTTATGTAATTTTTCTATTTATATTAATGAAGCTGACCACCCCACCCCCCCCTTTCAGAGACATCACCAAGCCTCTACTCATCTACCTCTGAGTCAGTCAACTAGCCCTCTTTCAGCATCATGTGACCAGCGTACACCAATCAGCTCACATGATCCAAGCATGGCCACCAGCCCTTTGGTTCCTGAGCATGCCTCTCAGGCTCCTTCACCTCCTCCAACGTTAACCTGATCGGCAAAACCAGCCACGCCACACTTACAACCAATCAACGGGTCTTATGCCCCTCCCCAAATGTCTACATGACAACATATCCTCAGCAGCCCTCATCTAACTGACATCTTCAGCCACCTACTGTATAGCTGTTTAACATCTAGCAACCATCTGGCAAAATCTCCCCGCAAATTACGCCCTCCTGACCAGCACTCAGCTTAACTGCATCATAACTAGCTTGTTGAAAACAAAATAGTAAGTTAATGCCTTTTCCTCCCGCTTAATGGCATTGAATTTTGTTTATTTGGTGGTTTTGAGACATAACTTTTCGTGATGTTAATAAGTATAAGACGACTTTTTTTTTTTTTTTTTTTGAAAACGATACATTTACATCTCTTCAGTAGTTTTCATACTGAAACTTTTTTTGATCTATGCACAAAGGTTTGGCAAATGAATCTGGAACAGGCACTTCTTACAGATAGCTGTTTTGAAAATAGTTTGACCCATATTGGGCTTCATAAGACCTTCATTGAAGGCCAATTGGTATCTACTCCAAAACAATAACTATTTCATGACGCTTCATGCATCATGAATATTATTTTGGCCATATTGACCCCTGACTTGTCAGTATTTCTTGCATCTGCATATAGGTCTCCTAGGAGGCGGAGCTTTAGTCGTAGTCGGAGCAGGTGAGTTGCTTAAATGTTTTTACAACCCTTCTGCAACTAATGTCAACTCTGTTGTTCTTATGAATATAAACTGTAACTTTGCCTTATATCTTAGAGCTCCTTAGTAATGAGGTAGCTATAACATATTTATACGTGTTTACTTGGCTTTTAAAGGTCCCTTTCCAGAGAGAAGAGAAGAGAGAGGTCTTTGTCTCGCGATAGAAACCATAAACCTTCAAGGTCTTTCTCAAGATCACGCAGGTAGGTTTACACTTGTGAGTAGTTGTGTAATGGCACAGCTGGAGTATTTAGTTACGCTCATGGAATTTGTCTTATTTCTTTTCAGTCGTTCCCGTTCCAATGGTCGGAAGTGAGAAATGTTCAAGGCCAGCCTTGTCAGAGAAAGCATGTCTGTGTGCTCCTCCTCAACAGACTAGGATGATTGGAAACCGTGATGTTTTTTTTTTGCCCCCAAAGTTTTTTAAATTGTATCTTCTCCATAGTGTTCTGAGTATCCTTTTTTACTTAAGATAACTGTGCTTAATGGGTAGCAATGATTTCATCCTGCCTAAATTCCTGAATGTAATTTTATGCTCTTTGGGCAGTAAAAAAGTTCTGATTGGAATAGCTCGTGTCTGAGTTAGATGGTCATTTGAAACCGATTTTGTATGCTTTTTTGTTTGTACTTCCATTAAAAGAAGTTCCTTATGAATTCACAGTATGACTTTTCTCTACATTTCACACCGATTAGTTGTTCATATGTTACTTGCATTAAAAAGTTTGGTAACCCTTTTACTGTAAGGTTCAATTCATTCTCGTATGTATTGATATTGGGTATCATAAACTAGCAATTTTGACGTAGATAATTTTTTCGTGTACTAATGCATTATTTAAAGTTGAATGAACTAACCTATAATGCTGCAACAGTAGTTCATGATATGTTAAACCTTATTGTAAAGGCTTTTTTGAAGAAAGGCATTTCAAAGTAAAAAAATAAAATGCTTACTATGAACCTATTTTGGTTCATTTGTCTATCATATAGTATTTTGTGTTTTAAATTATATCATATTGGGTTGCATTAGTAAGCTTTAAAATGTGCATTAAAGGGCCAGCAGAGGGCTGTGGTGTTTTGGGCGTGTTTGAGAAATGCGAATGTATGATATTGTAAACTCAAAAAGAAAAAATGAATTTTACTCATGGTTCAAACATGCGCTTAGACTGTGCTATCACAAAATTGGAAAGGAAAAAATAATAGCTGATGTCGTTTACACAGCAAGAACAATTAGCAGCCCTCTTCATGAAATATGTCCTTCAAGTTCACACTTTACTTACGGTGCAATTTGTGTCACCAACACAGGAAGTTGAGGGTAGCAGCGAAAAGGAAGCTAAATGAGCTCAGCCTCCTTTAAAAGAGACACATAAGCACCTAAAACTGTTGTGCTTTGTGCTCTGCTAAAACACCCAATACTGCGAAGTGGAAGGATCCCTGAAAGTGGCACCGGAAGGTAACATCAGTTTATCATGGTACTTTCCTAGTGTCATAAGTTGTAGGGGGCACGTCTTACATTTACGCTGTCATTTTGCATTTGGAAATGTAAAGTTTTACATGCAAATTATGTGGTTTTATCCTCTGAATATGTATATTAACATTGGATTACTTATGTTGTTTAGATGTCTTGTTTTCACGTTGTGTTCATCTGAGTAAAGACTTCACATTCATTTTGGGGGTTTTTTTCTGATAATGTCATGACAGAACCTTCATCCGTCCAACAACGTGTATTTACATATGTTACTTTTTTTTTTTTTTTTTTTATAATCAGAAAGTTAGGATGGATGGAAGCATGCTGTCATTACTCGATTATTCGGGAGATGTGAAGTATAGTGGCATGATGACGAATTAAATGTTTGATGGCAAGTGTCATGTTTTTGATAAACACATTTGCTATATATATATGCTAGGGTGAACTGAATTTCACTGTCATTATGTATCATCACAAGTGGAATCAATGATTTGAGAGCACATGCGTGACAGTTAGTATGAGTCATATAAATGTTGCATCACTAATGCTCTCTGGTTTCCTTTTCAATCATGTTCCTAAGTGTCAAAGATGTTTAGAAATGACTTATCCCCATTATTTGTCTCATCATATGAACATGAACAGCCATGTCAGGCAGAAAATCCAAGAAGAACCAGAGACTTGGTTCATCACGACGAGGTCCTAAAGGTCTTAACAGAAATACTGAGAAGGATGATGATGATGATGATGGGTTTCAGCAGACTGCAGAGTCTGAGGATGGGCGAGATGAATTTCACACCACCAGTGATTACCATGCAACCCAGTTTGATCATCCACCAAGCTCAAGCATTGAACAACAAACATCTGCTTTAGAATGTCCTCCACATGCAAGGGGTCACAAGGATTCACTAATGGAGACTGAACTGCCAGAACGGAAAAGAAAAATGGGTTCAACTCGCAAGAGTACTGGTAGGTTTAAAGGTGAGAGAAAACTTGATGACGTGAGGACCACTGAAGAGTTAGATGAAGAATATGTAACTCAACCAAACACATCAACCACTGAGGAACAACATGCTTCTCTAACAAAAGAGGAACAATCAAGTTTTCCTTCTGATTTATCCCTTCAGACCAAAAGTTCTGGTTTTGGAAAGGAGTCTGGAACAACTCCTGTGTTTGCAGTTTCAGAAAATAAAGGAAAAGGTACAATCCACCATCAAGAAATAACCTTTCATTCACATGAGGTAGTAAGTGAGATGCCTATAGACGAGGCAATGGGGCCATCTGTCCATTCTATTCCTGTCACAGTAGCTGAACGTGATTTGTTGCGGGAGGATTCAGTCATGTTTAATGAACCAAAAACACTTAGTCACCAAGAAACCCAAATAGCCAGTACCTCTGGACAAAAAAGAAGGATGGGCTCAACCCGCAGACCTCTCGGAGGGCAAAACAGTGAAATTGTAGGTGTGCAAGAACATTCACGAAACATGACAGAGAATGAAAGGAAAGCAAAAGTCATGGGCGAAGCAAAGTTGAAAATGTCAGAAGAGATGGCGCAAACATGGGATGATGTGGCAAGAGTTGATCCATCGTCCCACACAGAATCAGCTTTGCTTTTAAGTCAGTCTCTATTGGCCGATAGAGCTGAGCTGAAAGAGTCTGATGTTTCGGCTGGAACTGAAACTATGAACCAATCAGTTGCTTTTCCCCTTGTTGATTCAGAAAAGCCCCTACCTGAAACATCTAGCCACCATGGGACTCCATTACTGAACGAGGCAATGGATTTTAAGTTTGGTTCACACACTGAGGATTTAGATGTTCTAAATAAAGTTTTAAAAGAAGCAGGAAGTCATTTAAGTGATAACAGCCAACATGTGTCTGATACAAGAAAAGATACAAACCCATCTTATGACTTTAGCGATGTGAACACAGAATCCAAGAAGGAGGTTCTAAAGCAGAAAGAGGAACCACAATTAGAGGAACTTGAGTTGCATGATCAAGAATCTTCATTAAGCCAACATGACATAGCTACTCTAAATAATAACTATGATTGTTCTATGGTTCAACATATAATGGGAGGAAGTAGAAGTTTTGATATGCCTATGTCTAACATTAGCCATGCTGAACCCACAATGACCAATTTACCACATGAGATGAGGGATGCTGTTGAAGAAAGGCAAGAGATTAATATAGAAATGAAACAAGAAAATAATGTTTGTGATGTTGCTTCAGTAAAATGTGATGGTCTGACTAATTTAGTGTCTATTACGGAAGAAGATGAAGATCCCCACATTCTAGCAACGAGAGAAAATGAGAATATGAGTGTTGAAAGAGTATATGCATTTGAAATGACAGACCAGGGTGATGTAAGAGATCACAATGTAAAACAAATAATAATGGATGTAAGAGATCATGAAAAAGACGGAGAAACAAGCACAGAGACCATTTGGATTTCACACAAGAAACCGTGTGATGTTTCAAATGAAAATAAGGAGCTATATAAAGGACAAGAGCATCATTCATCAAATATATCTCTAACACACAGTCAAACACACGATGATGCTGGGAAGATGCTAGAAAATGAGGAGGTTAGAAAAGACAAAAAAGAGACTGAGAATACTGCAGTTGATGATGTGACCTCAAAGTCAGAGGAAATGTTTAGTTTTGAAGACTCAGCAACAGATACAGGATCTCACGCACAACAACAACTGTTTATGCAATCTCCTGATAAAGAAGACTATGACTTGCATGAAAATGTGAATGAGAAACATGAAAAGGAAGAAATACTTTTCAGTGTAGAATCAGAGAATGTAGCTTTTGATAGAGGCAATGAGAGAAGTGAAGGAACAGACAGAATTAAGGAGATGGATGCAGCACCAGTCCTGACATTAGATGTGGGAGATGCAGACCTACGTTTAGAAGTTGAAGCACAGAACAAAACATTTGACTCAACAAACAGTGAAGCAGGTGGAACAGAAGAGAATATCAATGGTGCTAGTGTTTTAGTCAGAGAAAATAAAGTTATTGGAAATACAGTGGAGAGTAATATGACTCCTGATGCACACATGGAATCATTGAAAGTATCTGAAAATGCTGAGCAAGAAGTTTCAGGAGAAACAATTCTCAAGCAAAGTGACATCAACATCGTTCCTGATGATTCTCATGAAGAGAAGGCACACGCAAAATCAAGTCCAGTTATTCAGAAGAGAAAAATGGGCTCAACTCGTAGACCTCTCAGAGGGAATAAAGGACTAAGAAAAGGTCATGATGAAAAAGAAATCTTCAATTTGGAGGATGAACCCAGTCCAGATGAATCCAGATATACTGCAGTGAGTATCTGTGACATTTCAGAATCACAAACTTTCTCAAAAATCTATGCAGGGTCCCAGGAAAATACTGGAGATGTTGAAATAGTGCCAGCAGAGGGAGACACAGAATCCCACTCAGAAATCAAAACGTTTGACTCAACAGCATTTGGAGAAGTTGAAGTCCGAGAAGTTGACGTTATTGGAGGTACCGTGGGCAGTAATATGACTACTGAATCAGATTTTCATCAAACTTCTGATGCAAACATGGAAACGTTGAAAGTATCTGAAAATCCTGATAGTGAAGATTTAGAACTCAGAAGTTCACAATCAGAAATTCAACCAGAAAACAAAATGATTGAGTTAACATCTGAAGCAGAAAGAACAGAAGATACCATCTGTGAAGCTAGTGTTTTAGTCAGAGAAGATGAGTTTACTGTAGATACGGTTATAGTGGACAGTAATATGAATATAGAGTCAGATTTGCTTCAGAGTGACACTTTAAATGATGCAAAACTGGACACACTGAAATTATCTAAAAATACTGTGAGTGTTTCTGCTGTTACGGATTCTGTGCTTCTTGTGCAAGAGGATGTCACTGAAGGATCAAGAGGGACAGACACATTTCCTGAGCAAAGTGACATCAACATCATTCCTGAATATTCTCATGGACAGGAGGTACACTCAATATCAAGTTTAATAGTTCACAAGCGAAAAATGGGCTCAACACGTAGACCTCTCAGAGGGAACAAAGGACAAAGAAAAGAAATAGAATATCATGATGAAAATGAGACACTTGACAGTGAAGGTATGATCAATGCAGATAAAGAAACAATTTGTTTGGAGAATGAACCCAGTCCAGATGAATCTACATTACAAAGTTTAAAAGATGGAGTTAAAGAACAGGAGATGGAAATATGTGAGAAGAATGATGTTGATCCTGTTAAAGGGTCTGAATCCACTCTCCTGCAGTCATCATGTACTTCAGATTTAGTGTCTAAGGAATCCACTGCAATAAGTATCTGTCACATCACAGAATCACAAACCCTCACAGATATTCATGTAGAGTCTCAAGAAAATACTGGAGATGCTGAAAGAGTGACAGCAAAGGATGACAAAGACTTACAATTAGAAATTGACTCACAGAACAAAACATTTGACTTAGCAACCAGTGAAGCAGATGGACCAGAAGAGAACATCCAAGACATTAGTGTGGCATTAATCAGAGAAGTTGAAGTTATTGGAGATACAGTTACAGTGGAGAGTAATATGACTACTGAGTCAGATTTTCTTCAAACTTCTCCTGATGCACATATGGAAGCATTGAAAGTATCTAAAAATGCCGAGAGAGAAGTTTCAGGAGAAACAAACACAATTCTTGAACAAAGTGACATAAGCATCATTCCTGCAGATTTTCACAGAGAAGAGACACACTCAAAATCAAGTCCAGTTATTCAGAAGAGAAAAATGGGCTCAACTCGTAGACCTCTCAAAGGGAATAAAGGACTAAGAAAAGGTCATAATGAAAAAGAAATCTTCAATTTGGAGGATGAACCCAGTCCAGATGAATCCAGATATACTGCAGTGAGTATCTGTGACATTTCAGAATCACAAACTTGCACAAAAATCCATGCTGGGTCCCAGGAAAATACTGGAGATGTTGAAGGAGTGCCAGCAGAGGGAGATACAGAATCACACTCAGAAAACAAAACAATTTACTCGCCAGCATTTGAAGGAGAAACAACAGGAGAGAACATCTGTGCAGCTAGTGCTTTAGACAGAAACGTTGAGTTTATTGGAGATGCAGTTATAGTGGAGAGTAATATGACTACAGAGTCAGATATTGTTCAAAATGACACTTCCACTGATGCACAACTGGAAACTTTGGTATCTGAAAATGCTGAGAATGAAATGTCAGGAAAAACAGACATAATTTCCAAACAAAGTGTTCCCAACATCATTCCTGAAGATCTTCATGGAGAGGAGGTACACACAAAATTGAACCTTAATGTGCATAAGCGAAAAATGGGCTCAACTCGTAGACCTCTTAGAGGGAACAAAGGACAAAGAAAAGTGAGAGTAGAATCCAAGGAAAATAATGGAGATAGTGAAGGAGTGTCAGAAGAGGAAGACACAGAAACACACTCAGAAATTCAAAACTGGGATAACGTGGTTGATCAGAATGTGACACAAGAAATTATGAATGTAAGAGATGTTGAAGATGAGGAGAGAAAGACCACGAAGACACTGGACATGTCAGTGCAGGTGCTATGTGATGATTTGGAACTAGAGCAAAGATCAGATGCATCTCAAACACAAACTGGTCCATCACAGGAAGATACTGGCTCATATTTCCCAGAAAGAACTGCAGATATTGTGAGAGACAGTAATAGTCTTTCTGATATGGTCATGTCTGATGCCCTTCTTATGGAGGAAACCCAAATTCATGTGTCATCTAATGATGTTCCTCCAACAGAGGTTGTTGAAATGAATCCAGTCTCCAAAAAGTCTATGCAGAAGAGAAAAATGGGGTCAACTCGGAAGAGAGGTAAGAGGATGGTAAATGACAAGGAGGTTGAAGAAGAGAAAGAGGGAGAAACTGAAAATACAACAGCTGATGATGAGACCACAGAGTCAGAGGAGAAATTAACACTTGAAGAAGCCATTACAGGATCTCCTGTACATCAGCAACTGTTCAGTTCATCTGCTGATAAAGAAGACCATGACATTCAGGATATTGTTTGTAAATCATATGTGCAGGCAGAAAACTCAGAACAAAATGATCAAAACTCTACCATAAATCCAGAACTATTGATAGAATCTGAATGTTCTTCAAATGTTGCTGCTGAAATGGTTTCAGACCTTCCATTGGGAGATGTCGACACATACTTAGATCCTAAACAAAGTGTCATTCCTAAAGAGTCTCATAGAGAAGTTCAACCAAACTTGAATCCGGTTGTTCAAAAACGAAAAATGGGGTCGACACGTAAGACGCTCAATGGGAACAAAGGGCAGGGAAGAATAGCAGAATCCAAAAAGATGGATGGAAATAGTGAAGGAATGATACAGGAACAGGATACAGAACCACATTTAGAAACCAGTGCAAGGAAAACTGAATTTGATGAAGCGGTTGAACAAAACTTCCCATTTGAATGTTCTCATCCAGTGGCTTCTTCAAACATGCTCCTTGAACCAGAAAATGGAGTGACGGAAGTTTCTCAGAATATTCATGACCTATCTGAGGTGAGTGAAGAAAAGGGGATGGACAATACTGGAAATGACAGTAATAGTCTGAGTGAGGCAATTAATCTCAAGGAGGGGACAAAGGTCAAATTTGTCTTGACAATTAGTCACGAAGATGTTCATCAGATTGTGTCAGAGCCTGAACAAACTGAAAACACACACAAGGTTATTCCTACACAAGAACTAAGAGCCACTCTGGATGATGTTATTCATGAAAACAACTCTCGAAAAATACCTGCCACCCAAGAAAAGAGGCGAAAGATGGGCTCAACCCGGAGAAATTCCCGAGCAATGCATGGGAAAAATATTGCCGATAATGAAGATGTACTTGGTGTGGCAGAGGATAGAGAAACTAAGAAAGCAGAGGATGATTTAGAAGAAGCATTAAGCATCAGTCAGTCCAAGGATGTGTCTTCAGTCAGTACCACAGATCTTAATTCAGAAATGTTAGCTAGTGTAACTGATTTAAAAGTTGATCATCTTCACAGTTTTAGACCAACAGTGCCTGAAACACATGAAAATACCCTTCAAATATGTGACAATCAATTAGAAAATGCTGATGTTACCAAACATCCACAGTCAGAGACTGTTACCATTGAGAAGAGAAAAAAGATGGGCTCGACTCGGAAGAATCTCAGAAAAGGAGGAATACGAGGAAAAAGAGATGGATATGAGGACACAGAAATTGAAGACACAAATGTGCAAATGTCTCAGGACTCTGAAATGAGCTTAGTAAGAGAAGATGTAAGACAACAGTCAACTCACGACTACTCCAGTCAGCCAGAGGATTCACTTCTCAGTGAGATAGAGAGAGCATTAAATAAGACGTCTCAAAGTTCATTAAGTTGTGATTGGGAATTAATCGTCAAAGAACCAAACCCAGATGACTTAGCCAATGCTCCTGATCTCAATATGCCAGAAAACTCAGAAATCAAATCTCTTCAGCCAATGCCATCGGCTCACAGTGAACCCAACTCACCAGGAGGACGAAGAAGAAAAATGGGTTCAACTCACAAAAATCTCAGACAGCAGCTCAAAGCAGAAAGGGAGGATGAAGACAAAGAGGATGGGGAAATAGATGAGAACTCAAAGACAAATAAGCAAGAAAAGAAGGACCTTGAAAGAGTTGAGGTGTCTGTAGTGCATAATATTACTGAAAACAAACTGAATAAAGAGTATCTCGATGTCTCTAGTGCACACACAAGTAGCAATCAGCTAGAAGAGAGCACTAACCCTGTTAGCCAAGAAAAGACGTCTCCATCAACTAAAAGGAAGTTTGGGTCCAGACGTGCTAATAAGGGCAAACAAGGCCTTGGTAGGTTGGCTGATTCTGATTTTGGGAATGATTTAGAAGATGGAGATCATAAACCAGACAGCTCTGAGGTCAAGGACAAGCTGCACAGTGATGACTTAGCGGTGTGTATCTCTTTGTTTAGAAAATGTCCTTATATTTTTGTACTTCAGCTTTTAATGGAAATTGTACACATTACTTTAAATTACTAACAAATGTTTGTTTTGTTAAGGTTTGTGATCCGTGCCTCACCTTACAACCAGAGAATCAACCAGCTTCTGAGCAGAGGAACATGGAAGCCAAGTATGACACAGAGCTATATAAGAGTTCTTTATGTCTTTGTTATAAGAAAATAATTAACTTTTTTCTTTTTTTTCCTTCTGCAGAAATGAAGAAGCTGCTCCAAAAGGCACTGGTGCTGGTCTCGTTTCTTTGGACCAAATCATAAAACATGATAGCACTGGAGCTAAGCAGACAGTAAATTTAAAGAACAGGAGTGAGTAAAGTGATAAAATAACGTCATGTAATTGTACCTTAAAGTTTAATATCTAATACTCATCTAAACACAAACTCTGTCATATAGTTTCAGATACTGAAGTAGTTCAGTTTAATGTTGTCATGGTGGGAAACAGCTGTGTGGGAAAGACTTCCTTCATAAGACGCTTCCATGAAGATCAGTTCACTGAGGATTACCGCTCCACTATTGGTGAGTGTTGCTATGGAGGCAGTCTTGTACGCTAAAGCAGCTATACACTATCATTCAAAAATTTGGGTCAGCAAGATTTTTTTTATGTTTATGAGAAAAGTCTCTTATGCTCTGATCAAAAGTACTGCACAGTATTAATAGTAATATTGTAAAATATTATTACAATTTCATGACTTAGCGGTGTGTATCTCTTTGTTTAGAAAATGTCCTTATATTTTTGTACTTCAGCTTTTAATGGAAATTGTACACATTACTTTAAATTACTAACAAATGTTTGTTTTGTTAAGGTTTGTGATCCGTGCCTCACCTTACAACCAGAGAATCAACCAGCTTCTGAGCAGAGGAACATGGAAGCCAAGTATGACACAGAGCTATATAAGAGTTCTTTATGTCTTTGTTATAAGAAAATTCACAAAATTCTTCTTTTTTTTCCTTCTGCAGAAATGAAGAAGCTGCTCCAAAAGGCACTGGTGCTGGTCTCGTTTCTTTGGACCAAATCATAAAACATGATAGCACTGGAGCTAAGCAGACAGTAAATTTAAAGAACAGGAGTGAGTAAAGTGATAAAATAACGTCATGTAATTGTACCTTAAAGTTTAATATCTAATACTCATCTAAACACAAACTCTGTCATATAGTTTCAGATACTGAAGTAGTTCAGTTTAATGTTGTCATGGTGGGAAACAGCTGTGTGGGAAAGACTTCCTTCATAAGACGCTTCCATGAAGATCAGTTCACTGAGGATTACCGCTCCACTATTGGTGAGTGTTGCTATGGAGGCAGTCTTGTACGCTAAAGCAGCTATACACTATCATTCAAAAATTTGGGTCAGCAAGATTTTTTTTTATGTTTATGAGAAAAGTCTCTTATGCTCTGATCAAAAGTACTGCACAGTATTAATAGTAATATTGAAAAATATTATTACAATTTCAAATAATTGTTTTCTAGTTTACTATGCTTTATTTAAAATTTTATTTTTCCTGTGATGGCAAAGTCATTACTCCAGTCTTGAGTGTCACATGATGCTTTAGAAATTATTCTGATATGCTGATTTAATTCTCAAAAAACATTTCTTATTATTATATATATTGAAAACAGTTGTGCTGCTTAATATCTTTTTTCAGGATTTTTTGTAACTTTATTAATGCATTTACTATTACTTTTGACCGATTTAATGCATCTTTAAATATTAATTTAAAGATAAAAATGAAAATATAAAAATATTAATTTCTTAAAATGTATTTATTTAAAAAAATTATTGACCTCAAACTTAGAATAATAGCATAAAAAGTGTTAAGATACATATTTACTATATAGAAATTATTTTTAGGAAGAAAAAATAAAGCAACAGACAGCCTAATTATAATGATCAGTTCCAAGTGTATAAATGTGTGCATTTATAATTTAATTAATAATAATAATGTATGCATTTAGCAGATGCTTTTATTCAAAGCGACTTACAGTGCATTCAGGCTATACATTTTTTACCAGTATGTAATAACTTGTTTTTTAAAAAAGCCATATCATGTTAAATTTTATATTATATATTTAAAAACTTGCGTGTCATAAATAGTAATTACTCTTTTGCACCTAGGTGTTGACACCTGTATACAGACTGTTGTGCTGCCTGACAGAACTGTTAGACTGCAAATATGGGACACAGCAGGTCAAGAGAGGTAAGACCTCAGAACAAAATAATACACGATGGAAAAGATGTTTGTTGGTGTGTAATTTAACCCAAAAAATCTTTATAAGGTTTCACAGCATCACCACACAAGTGTTCCACAAGGCTGATGGGCTTCTGCTCATGTATGAAGTCACATGTTCAAAGAGTTTTATTTCTGTACGAGATTGGATCTCTCAAGCTCAGGTAGCTTATGTTTCCATTTCTTCAATTTCATTATATTTTAGTCAAAATATATGGTAACATCCCCTTCCCTAAATTGTATTATGACCATGTTACACAGCAAAGGGCCCCTAATGATGTCATCATGATGTTGCTTGGAAACAAAAATGATTCTGTAAAGCGTGAAGTCCAGGTTCAGGAAGGGGCAGATCTGGCCAGAGTAAGAGTTCATTGTGACCCCAAAAGCACTGTCTAATTGTTTTGCTTAAGTTTAGTTCTACTAAAAGTTTGGTTGTATTTTCCCTTCATTAGGAGTATAACATACATTTCATGGAGTGCAGTGCTGCAACTGGGGTGAATGTGTCAGAATCCATGAGAACTCTTGCAGAGTAAGACTCAAAACTAACAAAACCCATCACACAAATTATTATTTGTTAAATATATGTGTTTTCTGTCCATGCATAATGTCTCATTTCTTGTTGCTACTAGGATGTTAGTGCAGCGCAAGTCACAGAAGGAGAAACACACAACATTGAGAAGAGAACCACCACAGAAGAAATCTGGTTGCTGTTGACTGGTGGAGTGGGGTATGAGTGGTTATGAACGAATGAATGAAACGCATTTGTCCGTGTTTCACTCCGTCTCGAATTGCGCTTGCGGAAATCGCGCTTGTCTCTTCCGCGGCTCGGTACGCTTTCAACATGTTTTTTTAGTCTCGAGCAAGACTGTACGACATTCACATTACATGATTTGACAGATTTTTACATAGAAAGGGCGACAGCGCACTGCATTAAAAGAAATGATCATTCATGTTTTCATAACCGCTGGCCAAATTAAAAAACGAAACTACGCTGTAAAAAATTACCGTGAATTTAACGGTAAAAGACTGTAAAAATGCTACAGTAAAAACCTGTTAAATGGTTAACAGTAAATTCACCTACTATATACTGTGAAAAACTGTATTGGACATTACATGTAATTTTACGGTAGTATACCGTTTTTGGAAGTGAAAAAGACATAATTTACAGTGAATAACCGTAAATTGACATTCCCAGAATTCCCTGCGTTACATTTTAAATTTGGTGTTTTTTTGTTGAAATAACTGTTTCTTCTTAGTTTTTTCTTATCAGTTTTGTATATTAGGTTTGTATGTTACACCTAATGTTGTTAAATGAATTTTTATTGCATTATTTCAGTTTCATGTGTGTTACCATGATGGTGTTTAGTGTTTGTGTGAATGACACTTCTATATATGCACCTTCTATATATGCTATTATTTAAAAGCTGCTTGTGATAGGCTTTGGTTCATCATGTGACTTTCTCATCACAACCTGCATTTGGTGGTTATCAGTGTATTACAAAGGTACAAAACAGATTTCAGTACTTCAATAGGTTGGTATATTAACATTATTTCAGTTAATGAAATTACGGTATTTAACTGTAAATTTAAGTTAAAACCATAAAACCTAAATTGTTGCTACCGTATTTTTTATGGTAAAATTTTTACTGTACATTTTACAGATTTTTTTTTTACAGTGTAAAATTAAATCATCTTTGAGAGCAAGGGGGGCCCCCTGGTGTTTCGGGTGCCCTACGCAGCTTGCGTATTTTGCTCATAGGGAGGCTCTGGCTGTTGAAAACACACTTCCACACACACAACATGCACGACCATTCAAACTTTTGGGTTAGTAATATATTTTTTGTAGAAATTAATACTATTATTCAGCAAGTATATGGGATTACATTTGTGTCAATTAAAATGAATGTAATTTTTCAAGAAACTTAAGAAAATATAAATTGAAACTGAATAAAATGTCTTTGAAACTGAAAAAAAATTTAATGCAGGCAAAATCTTTGACTTCGTTTTTAATACACTGCATGTTTTCTCTTCTTTCATTCACTGATCTGTACTTACAAATGCGCTTCCGAAGTTTTCATTTACTTCTAAAGTTTTCGTTTACGCTTCTGAAGTTTTCGATTAGGTTTCTGAAGTTTTCGTTTACGCTTCTGAAGTTTTCGTTTACGCTTCTAAAGTTTTCGTTTAGGCTTCTGAAGTTTTCGGTTATGTTTCTGAAGTTTTCGTTCGCCGTTCTGACACAAATCTCTCGTGGGGGCGGGGCTAGCTGCAGTGTGTTCTCATTGGCTACTGAGTTTTTGATTGACAGCTTCTTGACCTGGAAGTGAAGGCTTCAATGTTGCCTTGCCAGTGTGGATGTGAGCTTAGCAGCTTCCAATTTCATTTTAATGATATAAAGTTAGGAGTTTTGTTTTTGAATTCAATCTGTATTTATCTGTTGCTACTACTCTGTCCACATAAGCTTTTAGGAGCACGAGGAATCAAACGCGAGAGAAAAAGAAGGTCATATTCAGGTTTAATTATTAAAGTACTGTATATAATACTGGAAATATTGTATTATGTCCAATGTTCTTGTAGGATATTTGTTTATTGCTCATGATTCTTTTGCATTGTAGGGTCTAATTAGGTTGTGCCGTTACATTTGAAATACTATCATAGGCCTATATGTGTGATATATTTCATACGTCAAAAAAGTCTTTCTTCAAGCTCATTTTATTACATATTCCACACAAAGAATGTTCTTGCAGCCAATTGTATTTATCATGCTGATAATTTTGTTTAGCTAACATTATCTAACGTTTAAAGTTGGAAATACATTTTAACAATCAACTCTTTCACATGTGACTTTTATAAACCAGTTTTAATGAATGTAAATGAAAATATGAATTAGTTCAAATAAATGTAAATTCTTTATTGTCACTATAGCATTTACACAAGTATCAAAGTGAAAGTCTTGGATGCAATTATGTTGTGACAGGAAAGACCAGAATCCA